ATATATATATATGCAAAACGAGACTCAGCAAGGATTCCCATTTGTTTCATTGGTGATACAGTCAAACACCAAACCAAGAWAACGTAGTTAAATGAGCACTAAAGCATGCAGTGGAAAAAGAAGCTCAGTTATGATAGGAACTCCCCCTATCTGTTTACAACTGTAAAGAGAGGTTGTTCCACAGCTTTAAAGCAGAAACTTTATATTATTAAACACCGTAACGTAGTTATAAACAGATAATGACATTGTAGAAGTTTTTTGAAGTTTAAGTCAATAATTTGTAGATTTTTCATATTTTGATTTCAAGGAGCCATACTTAATTGTTTAAGCTTTTTAGAGCAATAGCTCTGCAGTTGTTTTTGATGCGAAATGTAAAAAAAAAAGTTGGATGACTTAAGACTTTTGCACAGTACTGATATTCGTAATAAAATTTATTGGATGTATGTATGAATATGTTAAGCATAAAAAATAATAATTTAATAAATGAATTATTTAATTATTTATTTTTGCTGAAGGTGCTTCGGCGGCTGCTGGATTCCGTGGAGTTTCTGGAGGAGATGAGCGGGCCAGGGGAGCTGGCGCTGGGTGCTACAGAGCGAATCCTGCTGAGGGAGCTCACTGACACTCTGGAGCCCTTCACTGAGGCCTGGGACATGGTGCATGGAGACATCCTAGCAGACATTCAGTCGGACAGACATGTGTCCATCAGCCTGGCTCTGCCCTGTGTCCTCGGCCTCCGGAAGCATCTCTCGGAGACGTCCGCTCCCCACTGCCCAGCCCTTCTGCTGAGCCTGAGCCAGTCTCTGGAGCGCCTCTTGGCCCCTATTCTGGAGAACCCCCTCTACATCACTGCGACCACCCTGGACCCCCAGTTCAAGCTGACATGGAGCAGCAACCCTGACTGGCACAGACAAGTTCTCATAGAGGAGTTATCCAAACACTCCTCGGCCTCCCCCTCAGCAGATCTCAACAAAGACTTTCAGTCCCAGACTCTTCCTGTCCCGGCACCGTCTCCGGTCTCGTCGCTGTCTCGGCCATGCAAGTTGTTCTCATTTATTAAGCAGAGACCCGCAACACAGGCTAAAAGCCTGGAACAGGAGTTGGCAGTCTACCTTCGGGAGGAGCCCACGGATGAGGAGGCTTTGCATTACTGGCGCCGTAAAGCTATTGACTTTCCTCTGCTAGCCCAAGTGGCTAAAAGAGCGTTCACAATACCTGCTTGTAGCACAGCAGTGGAGAATATCTTCACTACAGCTGGGCACCTCCTGTTGCCAGAGAGAGGCTGCGTCTTACCAAAGAACCTGGAGACTCTCATCTACCTCAAAGCTAACTACAAACTATTATGGAGTTAGAACTGCTAGAACCACGATTCAAGACTTTCTTTTATCTAAACAGCACCTGAAGATGTCCCCCCCCACCCACACACACACACACACTTTGTAAAGTGACTTCTTGGATACAAATCTTTCTTGCTTTTGAAGAAAACTATTCCAGCAACATAATAGTGCCCAAAGTGAAGGCCATTTTGTATGAAACTGAATGAACTACCAGTTTCTATTCACAAAATGGGTTTAAGTGTGGATTGCCTGTATACAGACTATTACTGTCGACTGAGACAGCGAGAAGCAAATCAATACTAAAGTATTCACTCTGGCATTATTTTGCCTGTGTAAGGTCTCTAGACAACCACAAAACTCGTATTGTCWGTTTTCAACATGAAAAGTAGCTTCTGTCTGCAGCAGCCCACTGACAAATGACAACCAAATGACAACCAATTAATGCATACTGAGGTGTCAGATTTATGTACAATAGGCTGCYGTTACTTTATTATCAAATTCTTTTAAAGGATAGCATCAATTGCTAAACCAATACTGTATATCCATGCATCATATTGTTTTYCTTTATGTATCTGTGCCTCCTCACTGGGGTTTTTAGAATAAATGAGTTCACTTTTTAACAGAGACGTGTGTGTGGTTGGCAGCTATAGAAGAGCCGAAACAATTCTAAATTGGGAGGCAGACTAAACTATGAGGTGTTATGGAGCTGTCACAGCCTACCTATCGCTTGCTGTCTTGCATGCCAGTGTTTTGGAACAAAGTACTTGTATGATTTATTGGCACAAAGCGCAAGTGTTTGTGATGACTCAGTTACAACACCAAATCTTAGCCTAACATCTGTGAAACTGACAAGTTGCAGCCTATTTTGTGTTTGTGAAAGTTGGTTCRGTGGTGGACATTTTGTATTGGGTTGACTCCAAAAGCTAAGCCACTCGAGGGATGAAAGTTTCATTAAAATCTGTCCAGTGTTTCATGAGTAGTGTTGTAGTACTCGTAACAGGTCTCAGCTTCAAGACCACTTTTTGATGGTCTCAGACTCAGACTTATTTGCACTTAGTCTTGTCTCGTCTTGGACGTTGAGGATTTGGGATTTTATTTTCATTTTATTTGTTTACGTCCTTGCTTTCAAAGAATGTAAAATGTACTGACTCAAATCCATGTATTTTTTTTTACCACTGTCACCCATCCCCACCTCTTTTCACTCGCATGTGGTACTCCAAGAGATTGAGCAGGAGAAGATGTCTGCAAAATCTTTAGTAAAACAATTTGGCTATATAAATTATAAAGAATATATTTATAAAACAACAGCCAGAAAAGCATACAACAACTTGTAAATTCTGCAGTTCTTCGCTTTCAGAGATGGTGGGGACCACGTCAGACTTTTATTGTCACTTAGAACAGAAGCACAAAGAAAGATATGTTATGTGTAAGTGATGTTAGCAAAGCTTGGTAGCTAACGTTAGCGATTTGCCTCTACCAAAATTCTTTACCGAGCTTAAGATATTTAGTCAGTATTATCTAAATTAAGTTAGCTACCTGTGTACAGAATACTGTATGTTTAAGGGCACTAGTTCACTTGTTTTTTTTTTTTTTTTTTGGTTTTGGTTTTAGTTTTGGTCTTGACTCGGTTTCAGCTGCTAAAAGTTTTGGTATTGTCTCAATCTTGATATACTCTGGTCTCGGTCTTTGTCCTCAGATTAGGTGGTCTTGACTACAACACTTTTCATGAGATATTATGGTAACAGACAGCAAACTCATACACAGGCAGCCTTCTGTGTAGGTGGACAATATCATATTTACAGGCCCATAAAGAGGATCAGCTCCTATTGATTTTCATTCTTTTCATTTTTTCCCAATCTTCAAACTTTAAAGATTAGGAATATGTCATAACGGAAACTGACTTTTGACTTCTGTTAGAACATGTTAAAAGCTACCTCTAGCTGTTCCTTTAGAGAATAATGAATGTGTTATTTTGTGCGTGTTTGCCTCTGTTCGGGGGTTGCTTTTATTGGTTGGGGATGGGCCAGTGGGGAGGCAGGGTAATTGCAATAATTTCATTAAAATAAAATTTGAGTCAGCAGGCAGGCAGCCAGCTGTCACAGCTTACAGAGCTGCTGTTTCCCCACCCTCGCCATCCAGTAAGGTCAGAAAACTGTCCTTCTAAAACGAGGCTGTTTTTGACTTATTTGAAACAGCAAGAATGGAAATTAGTCACTTTAAAACCGAACTGCAGAAACGGTTTTTGCTTAAAATCCATTTCACATCAAATCAATTAATCTGTGGGGGGATACAGTGAGACTTCCCTCACAGATAATAATTATCCAGGATWGCTATGATCCTAATGATTATCACCGCAGGATGTCTCTGTGGATTTAAATCTGTGTGAACGCGTTCATCTTTGAGACATGTGTTCTCTTGTTGCTCTCTCTCTCGCTCTGGGTGTGTTGTTTGTGAACGCACTCCTCCCTCCCTCGGCCGTGACAGCTCATCCGTTCGAGTTAGTCGACCGGGCCTGGACGCAGTCCTTGTGGTAATTGCCTCTGAAATGAATTACTTGGCACAGAGTAAGACTGCGGGAGGGGAGGAAATTGTAATTGAACCGCACCCCCTCTCCATCCTGCCTGTCCCTCTCCCTCHTGCCTCGAGTTATTATATCTGCAGTGCAGGGAGACGTGTTCCATCTGCACACAAATACACTCACCAAACCAATTTCTCCCTCCCACCCCACACACACACACACAATGGCCTCGGCAGAGCAACATATTGATGCAGGGTGATTTCAGAGATTGATTGTGCATGAGCACACGCACACCAGGACACGCTGCACTCCTGCACTCTTTATTTATAGCACGGGGGAGTAATACTCTCTTAAGCACTGTGGTTGCTTTTGTTTCGACTGCCTTGCTCCTAATATTCCCTTATTTGTGGTAACCTTTAGATGGCCTTCCTAATGCTTTGCAGGGATTTGGAGGTGGCACAAAGAAAACTGGCGTTCCGTATCAAAATAGCCTTGGTGAGCCCCTGCCCTCTCCACTGTTATTAATATCTGCCTTTTGCTGGCTTGCTGACAGATTGGAAAGCCTGATGGATTGAAGAAAAGTGTGTTTTTCCTTCTTGTTTTGGCAACTGTGTTGATGTATAGCCGGAATAGCACTTTTTTTTATCTACACAATGCAAGTCCACATTTGTGCTCGGTCATGCACTGTCCTGTGGCCTTTCAATAACCAGAGCATGGAAAAACGCGGCGGGGGCTACTTAACTGAGCAGCCTGCACCCAGACACACATGTACATGCTTGAGCCGTAACTCAGCACACAATGGCATCTATTTCTGTAAATGCACCAGGGTTATCACCCCCCCCACCCACACACACACACACACACACACTTACACTGCCTCTCCTTCTCTTTCTATTTCTGTCGCTCCCCATGTCTCTTTTTTCTATCCCCCCCAACACTCCCACCTACTTTCTGCAACATCATGGCGGATAGAACCAGCAGGCTTGGCGTTAAGAGGAAGGAGAAAACGGTGGAAAGCAAAGTCAATGACGAGCGGGACAAAGACAAGGGGAAGGAGAAAACTGTGAAAAAGCCYGACAAACCGGTGAAGAAGGACGAGAAGAGCCCAGAGTCGGCGGAGGCAGAGGAGAAGAAGAGGAACGGGGAAAGTGACGGGGCGACAGGAGCAGAGGCCAAAAACAGTGAGGGTAATGGAGGCTTTCAGCCCATCGAGCTGCCTCCTTTTGAGATTGTCACAGGGTGAGTCCGCTTTAATACACACACAAACAGTTAAACTCTCTCCTTTTTAGTTATCAATAAAATTCAAGCATTTTTTTTTCTCTTAGTGAAGACAGATACAAATGACTTGCACCTGCCATCATTTGTCTAACTCGGTGGTAAGAATAGGGATGAGTCACATCGACGTTGAGGCCTCCTGAATCACTCTGCTTAGCATCTGTTCTCTGCTCTCTGTTCTTTAAGCCTGGTTGATATCAAAGCTATAAGAGATCTATATCTGGGCTCCATCTGTCTCTCTATATACAACAATGAATGATTATTGAAGCAAGGCAGCTGGAGAATGTGCTTTGTAGGAGCCCGACACACTCACTGATCAGAGTCTGTGATGATTAAAAAGATTTTTTTGTGTTCTTAGAGATGACAATTTTTATTACCACACGGTGTGTCTTCTGTCTGCAAAGTTCTTTCAGCGTTAAAATAGGCTGACGTATGCAAGCACCTGTACCTTATGGACAAGTGTTTTTTGTGAATTCTTCCAGAAAAAAAAAACAAATGCTGATGAAAACTCTCACTGTGCCTCTCTGTTAGGGAGCGGATGAGCCCATTCTACTTCAAGTTTCAGTTCAGGAATGTGGAGTATTCGTCTGGGAGGAACAAAACCTTCCTGTGTTACAGAGTGGACACGGCAGGAGGCGACACAGAGCCTCTGAAAGGTTACATGGAAGATGAGCATGCCATGGCCCACGTTGAAGAGGCCTTCTTTCAACAGGTGATGAAAGCTCTCGTCGTGGCGTGCAAAATCGAAACGTATTGAGAAGCTGTTCTGACATAAAGGTGACCTGATTTTCAAAAGATGCGTAGATAAAGCCGACTTAATTTAACAGAGAAGAAAGTAGAGGAAGTGCATTAACTGCAAACATGCTATGCTGAACAACTTTGCTCTAATTTGATGGGGAAGCCAAAACTAAGTTGTTAAAGTGAAAAGAAGCAGACTTCTAACTGAAAACTAAAAGAAGAATAACAATAGTTAAAAGATAAAATGAGCAAAACACAAAAAATCAATATGTAAAGTCAAAATAAAAACTAGTAAAATGCTATCTAAAGCCAAATGAAACCAAAAGGCTAAAGCTAAAAGTAGCAAAATGGTAGCTAAAAGTAGCAAAAGATTAAGAATGTAAAAAAGAACTAGAAACTGGAAGCATCAAAAAGCTAGCCAAAAGCTAAAAACAGCAAAAGTTAAGTAAARTAGCAGAATGGTAGCCAAATGGTAAAATTAGGAAAAAAGTTAGCTTAAAAACTAGAAGTAGCATAAGGAGACAAAAATAAAGCAAGTACATTGAATCAGATATTAAAAAGAACATTTTTTGAAGAGTGTTTTAAGTATTTCTATGGGAAAACTTTTTTTTTTAGATAAAATGAAAGATATGGAAGTTACAACAATCAACTCACCTCAATAAGCTGATATATGACAAATAAAATAGTACAAGAAATGCAGAAGTAATTAGACTGCAAAACAGCATAAAACAGGAAACTAATCATGTAAATAACCCTGAACAAATAATACCTTTTTAAGATTTCTGTTATTTTGGTGGATTTCTTGCCATTTTTCCTGCCTGTCTAGTTCTGTGTGGTTCCAAGGCTGTTCTGCTGTGCTGTTTTATGTCTAGCCACAAATGTTGAAGTGTGTCCTGTATAATCATGCTGCTGTAAAAAGCAAACCCCTTTAGTTTATGCAGATGCCTTCAGATTTTGCATTTGTTCAATTTAATTCAGTCTTCATTCTGGCATTAAAATATTTATGTGTCGCCAACTTCAATCTAATTCAATTCTTTTGCATTAATTCACAACAGAAGTCCTCTCCAGGCACTTAACAGTGGAAGCAAACATGCATACATATTACATTTAACCCTATTTACTTTAATTCAATTCAGTCAAACCCAATTCCCTATTCTAATCGAGTTAGTTCAGTTCAGCCAACTAAGTATAAATATATTTATAAAATTATATTGTTCTCTTAAAGATGCCAGCATCTTTACCTTAGTTTGTTGGGGGTTTGAAATGGCATGACAGACCCAAGCAAACACAAAAAAAAAATGCCAGGCAAGCAACAATTTCAAATGGATTGACTGCAGCAGTAACTGCACATGGAGAATAAAAGAAGCAGAGTGAAAATAACTTATAATTTAAGATACCCCATCTGTTCAGGCCATGATTATAAAGGAGTCATCTGAACTAATCACAACTTTAAAGTACAACTAAACTTAAACACATAATCTAAAAAGGGTAGAGAGCTAACTTCAGATCAGCATGAAGGAAACGAAACCTGATTGCTAAATGCGCTGACCCCTATTCTAAATTTGGAAACTGTGCAACATGATCCCATAAAAACGGTCTCCCAACTGCTTAACACTTAACAGAGACAGGGTCGCTTTAGGAATTTCTTGAGTTCACTGAGCTTTGTTTTTGCTAATTCTAGTCCAGCGGTTTTAATTTAACTTCAGCAGCTGATGTAACTTCGTAAAAGAATAGAAACCATGATAGAGTCTGCTTAGTATTTTAGGCAAATGTGTATAAAGTATGTACTTGAAAAAATAAAGTAAAAGTAAAAATACCATAAAATTCATAAAACTGTTCATAGTAATTGGGAAAGCAAAGTACTTGTACACACGTTCTAGCAAATGAAGTGTTACTCTCAACTTTCGTCCATCTGTCCGTTTTATTCTGCATATCCGGGGTCGGGTCATGGAGGCAGCAGCCTAAGCAGAGAGACCCAGACTTCCCTCTCCTCAGCCACTTGGGCCAGCTCCTCTGGGGGAATCCCAAGGCGTTCCCAAGCCAGCTGAGAAATATAGTCCCTCCAGCGTGTCCTGGGTCTTCCTCTGGRCCTCCTCCCAGTGGAACTTGCCTGGAACACCTCACCAGGGAGGCGTCCTAACCAGATGCCTGAGCCACCTCAACTGGCTCCTCTCGACGTGGAGGAGCAGCGGCTCTACTCTGAATCCCTCCAGATGACTGGGCTTCTCACCCTATCTCTAAGGGAGAGCCCAGACACCCTGTGGAGGAAACTCATTTCGGCCGCTTGTATCCGCGATCTCGTTCCTTCGGTCACTACCCAAAGCTCATGACCATRTGAGGGTAGGAATGTAGACCGACTGGTAAATCGAGAGCTTCACCTTCTGGCTGAGCTCTCGCTTCACCACGACAGACCGGTACAACACCCGCATCACTGCAGATGCAGCACCAATCCGCCTGTCGATCTTCCGCTCCATTCTTCCCTCATTCGTGAGCAAGACCCGAGATACTTAAACTCCTGCGCTTGGGGCAGGACCGCCTCCTCGACCTGGAGGAGGCACCCTACCCTTTTCTGGCTCAAGACCGTGGTCTCAGATTTGGAGGCACTGATCCTCACCCTGGCTGCTTCACACTCGGCTGCGAACCGCTCCAGTGAGAGCTGGAGATTACGATCTGATGAAGCCAATAGGAACACATCATTCGCAAAAAGCAGAGATGTGATCCTAAGGTCACCAAAACGGATGCCCTCAACACCTCGGCTGCGCCAAGAAATTCTGTCCATAAAACTTATGAACAGAATCGGTGACAAAGGGCAACCGTGGCGGAGTCCAACTCTCACCGGAAACGAGTCTGACTTACTACCGGCAATGTGGACCAAGCTCTGGCACCGGTCGTACAGGACCTAACAGCCCGTATCAATGGGCCTGGTACCCCATACTTCCGGAGTACTCCCCACAGGAGTCCCTGAGGGACACGGTCGAACACCTTCTCCAAGTCCACAACTGGAGGCACTGATCCTCATATTGTCTTGTTGTTTTGTTTTGTCAACTCGAGTTGAGTTAATTGAGGAAACTTACATATTTTGTTTTAAAGAAAATGTGTAAATTGCTTCACATTTACACAACTTGGTTTAGTGGTACCAGTGCTTGTAATAAGGTGTYAAATTTTATTGTGAAGGAAAAAAAGTATTATTTCTATGATTTGAATGTAACAAAATAAAAGTTACAATAAAAAAATACTTGGTAAAATACAAAAGCAATAAATAAGTATAATAAAAAAGTAAATGTACTTTATTACTATATACCTCTGGAAAAGGTAAGATATTAATTGTGTATACTTTTCTACGAAGATGTGAACTATCATTTCAAATACCTTTAAAAATTTACTTTATTCTTTTATTATTTTGATCAAGAGATAAAGCTTGAATGCTTTTATGGGAGTAACAAGGGAGTGGGGGCTTGACATGGCTTAGCA